TTCTAAGAGAACATCCTGGAATGCACTTGCAGTTAGTCACTGTATTACCCAGAGCAGTGAGCATCATGGCATCTAATGCATCAGAATATTGATTCAAATTAATCAGTAATATGTTCCTCCTGAAATTTTATGCTACATGACAACCAAAACAGTGTGTAGATGATAAATACCTCTCAGAAGCTAAGTTTCCATGAAAACTGACTTAAGCTTCTAAAACTGGGTAACTGCTTGTGAATTAGAGGCAGGAGAGCATAACCAGCAAACACAATTATGAACAGAAGGCCAGAGGTACACTAAGAAGAAGGTGAGGTCAGTAAGAAACAGTTCACACTGTTCAGGACCACTACAGTCTGTTTGATCACTCTTTCAGGGCTGTGGAAGTTCTGTGTTTCTAGCATACCTTCACTTCCCGGAGTGTAAATGAGTCTACAGCTGGATACTTGGAAATTTAGATCTTGTCTTGTGGTTGGTTTCTGTCAGCAGCATTTTGTGGCTTGGGAAACAATAATACAGCCCTATAAGAGAAACACTGAGTGTAGTCCAGACTTTCGTTAAGCAACAGATTCTCTCTAGTTAATATATAGATCTGAGCTTGCCTGAAGTCTAAAAATACATCATTCCACAATTCTGAGCTATTCTGTCACCTGTGCTTATTCCAGATTTTAGATATTTGAGCCAACTTCTTTCTTACCATAAGTTCGGTGAAAGTTTTGTTGGGTGGCTCTGGCCTGCTGAAACAAGACTGAGAAGTATCTGATCAATACTGATCAATGCATTATAATGTATTGCTTTACATTAAGATGTTAAACTCTGGTCTTATCTATAGCTTGTGGTAGAGAGATCATCATGGCTGTTTTGGCTGATGTTTTGGTGAAAACAGGCTTTGCTGTTGAAGGCTGTGTGGAGATTTTAGCTATATGCACTGTTACTGATGCATTTGTCCTTGCAGTTGTCAGCTTACCAGTCCAATCCATCATTCTGTACACTGCTTGGAGGTCATGCAGAGGCTAAAACGAACAATCTGTTATCTGCTACAACTTTCTTTTGGGAGTGAGGTTTCACAGAATCCCAGGATGATTAAGATTGGAAGGTACCTCTGGAATCGACTTGTCCAGCTTTTCTGCTTGATGCAGGGTCAGCAAGAAGAGGTGTTACGCAGAGCTATTTCCAGTCAGGTTTTGAATATGTCCAAGGACAAAGACTTGTGACATTTATGAATATCTTCTTCAATTGTTAAATTACCCTCAAATTAAGCAATATTTTTCTTGGCTTTAAATGAGATCTCTTGTATTCCAATCTGTGCACATCACTTGTTTTTTCGTTAGATATTACTGTCTGCATGTCTTGACTTGATACTCTTCCACAACATAAAAACACTGACAAAATCCTCTGTGAGCTTTCCCTTCTCCAGGCTAACTAGTCCCATTTTTCTCAGCCTCTCCTCGTACATCAGATGTGTCAGCACCTTAATAATCTCTGTGGCTGTTTGCAGGGCTCACTTTGGTAAGCTTGTGTTTTCCTTGTGATGGAAAGTCCATTTGGCAGAAAAGCACAGTTAATGCTTATGTTAAAAAACTGGTTTGTAGTTGAGAATCTTCTTTATAAATACTGTTATTGTGCTCTTTCTATCTATTGTGCTTTCCATGGAAATAAATAGAAGGTCTTGCTTCCAGAGTGACCTACATAGGTCTTACTGCTGCCAGAAAACCCCTATTAAAAGATCTTCTGGTGCCTGTGTTTTTGTTTCATTCAGGGTGTTGTATGGAAAGATGTGGAGATCAGAGTCTCTATTTTGGCATGGGATGACAGCAGAATTGATTCTTATCTTTATTTGACCATGGGTCTCTGTACTGATCCAGTAGCTATTTTAGTGTCCCTAATAAATCTACCAGTTAGTGTCATGTTCAGATCTTTTATTTTTGTGTCCACGAAGAAATGGTCTAATACTTGGGAATTCATTTCACGTGAATCTGTGAATCTCAGGCAGTCTATTGTAGAAATTGGTTTGAATATATTTTTTTATGAATCTGGACTTGAGTGAATCTGCCTCTTCCAGTCTTGCATTTCAGTGAAATAAAATACCTGCTTGGCAACAGCTCTGTGAGTTAATAAAGTTTCCGTGGTAAACTATGAGAAGCCTGAGAATTTCAAACTAAAGTTATTGCGCCAGTAACTCAGAAAAGCAATTCCTAAAACTCCTGGCACATTTATCCAGAGGGTTAGCAGTAGCACAGAAATGGAAATCATTGTTGAGAGCCACTGCGTACTTGGAATTAAAATCCATCAGTCTTCTGAAACTGAGGAGAACAATTTTTGTGACATATAGATGCTTCTGTAGTTCATAACAAAAATTAGATCTATGGCTGTTTTCTATCCTATTTGTAGGGAAATTCACATCCTTAATCCTTGTAATATACCTAACTTGGGATGACATCAAAAGAAATAATGCATGCATAAAGAAAGTAGGCATTTAAGCCACTTTCAGTGCTTCATTTTATTTAATTTCAGTAAAAATGGAGTTAGCCATTGGATGAGGGGGATTGGAAAGGAGAGGATGCTAAGCATCACCTTCAGAAGCTTCTCAAGCATAGAAGTCAGAAGAATGTGGAAAATAGAAGATTCATAAAACTTAGCCGTCTTGTTGTTGGAATTGGAGGGGAGTGGAGAAAGGAACATAGTAAACCACAGGGAAAAAAAAATCAAATTTCATCAAATAAGAGTTGAACAGTTAGTATTGTCAGGGCTTTTTTGCAACCCTTGCTTAGGACTTTTATTTAGGTCTTTAACATATGTGTTGGACCTTCCTTGCCTGATGGGAATTTTGTCATATTGAACAGGGTGTAGTGACACTGCTGTGTTTTTACTGAAAAAAAGAATGTGCCTACTACTGCTGGGACACAGAAAAGTCTCCTAGCTATTAGTGGTGTAGAGTTAGAGATTTTGTACTGATCCTTGCTGGCAGCAGGCACAAATAGTTGTTGGTGCAAATGGTTCAGTGAGGGAAGGACAGGGAGAGACACACACATGAATACACATAACCCAATGCGTAGTAGAATGATGGGAGTTACTTGATAAGGAAACGTTTCTGTTTCAAGAGGATATTGTGAAAGAACAACAAAAAATGTGTTGCCCTGACCGATTACATGAACAAAAACCAGTATTCCTCAAAAATGCTCAATTTTGAGTCCTTGAAATCAACTTAAAGAAACACAGTAAGTTTTTGTTCTCATCTTAAAATTTGCAGCTGAAGCAATAAAAGATGTTTTGTAGTAGGCTTTATAATTACCTGTTGTCTTGTTTATCTCCAGTTACAGTATGCTAAGAGATGGGGTGTTTTTTTGTTTGTTTGTTTGTTTGTTTTTTGAGATGAGAGATGGTGCTGTTTTTTTTTCATGTAACAGAAAAGAAAAATGAAGAAGTAGATTAGCAATGACTTGAATGGATTCGCAAAGAATTTCTCATCTCTGTGTTTATGGCGAGCGACCAGGCAGCAGACAAGCTGGCGTGAAATGGATGATGGTCATTCTGTAGCTGCTGAAGCTTTCTGTTGGAAGGCATCCCTTCACAAATGGTGCCATTAAGTGTTTTTACTGGCAGCCTGTGCACAGTTCAAAAAAGAAAAGAAAAAAAAAAAAGTTAAATGGGCCAGAGAGCATTGCCATTGTTATTTTATTCCTAAAAACAGTCAAATATGTCAAGTTGGTAGGGACAGAAGGATTGAGCCCAAGTCCTGGCTCCACACAGCACCACCCAAACCTTGTGCTGAGAGTGCTGCCCCAACAAAACCCTGAGCTTCGCCACTGGGGCCATGCCCACTGGGCAGCCTGTGCCATGCCCACCGCCCTCTGGGGCAGAGCTTTTCCCTCACCTCCAAATCCATTTCTGCAAGGCAGCTCTCCAGCTGCTCTCATCCCTCAGCCTGTACATATGTCTAGGGCTACCCCATCCCACGTACAGATCTGGCACTGCTCTTTTTAAACTTGTGCATTTGGTGACTGCATAGCTTTCTGATGTGTCTAGATCTTCTGTCTCCCCATGTTCAGTTAGGTGAGTGACCCTGTCACAAAAGTAGGTCAAGTTGGTTAAACAGGACTTCCCCTTCGTGAACCCACACTGGCTGTGACCTTTGACTGCAATATCTTTCAGGCGTTTTTCAGTATCTCCTAGAATAATCTTTTCTATAGCATTACCACGCACTGAAGTGAGACTGACAGGCAGATAAGCGTTACAGCACATTCAGGAAAAGACAGATATTTACTACCTGTATTTAGACATGTCTTACTGGGCACAAGAGTAGTCAGATGTTAAGTCAGAGGTGATGTTTATGAATTGGTAACTGAGCATCTAGGTGCAATTCTTGTGCTAGCTGGCAAGATGTCTCAGATAGAGCTGCAGAACCAGCTGATTAGGCACTAGAAAATGGACATTGAAGAAAGCAAACAAATTCTGTCCTCTCACATCTCAGAGAGTAAATTAAGCTAGGAGAAATTGTATGTTTTAGTTGCCGTGCTTCCTGTCACCTGTACCAGCAGTGCAGTGCAAGCTTTTGAGACTGATTCATAACCTGACTCTGAATGCAACAGCCTTTGCCAGCAAGGAGCAGGGGAAGTGATGCTTGGGGGGGGGTATGCACATGTGCTACAGATTTCACAGCTTGCTTTGCAAAAAAAATTAAGCTTTCTTGAAACAGCAGGTGACATTTGCAAGAAGTTCAGGAGCAACGCATGACAGAAGACCCACTATTTAGCTGGGGTTTCCACATTTAGCTTTTTGTAAATCTTGGTGCTTAGAAGCTTGGTTTTGCAAAATCCCTGGGAGGGGAGTCCCTGACTGAGCAGCACTGTGAGAGGATGGTGGTGGGGCTACAGTATGAAGATACTTGTGTATATTGATACTATAAACACGTGGAGCTGTTTCTCTGGAGGCTTTTGCCTTTGTAAAGTAATCTTTCTTATTGCTCTTCTCCTTTGTTATTTCCTTTCGCTGCATGATGAGAGCAGATGGGTGCTGCTTCAAAGAAGAGTTGGACATATAGAGAAACCATTTCGGATCTCATTGGAGTACATTGCTAATGGGAACAAGAGCATAGCAGCTGTGGATTCCTTTGCAATGAAGAACTGCACTACAGGTAATGTACCTTATTTTATTGTTTCTGTCTTACAACGTTTTTTGGTGTCTTTTTGGAGAGGACCATAATTTCTGGCTGTTAAAGAACCTTCACGGAATTAAAGTTTCTTGTCAGATCAGTCATTTAAACAAAAGGTAGGATACCTTGCAGGGAATAGTTCTGCTGATGTTGTATTAGAAGTTCTTAACCTCTTGAAAGAACCAAGACATTTTTTTCCTGTTTTGGAAAAAAAATTCTAGAGTAATTCCATTTTGGAAAACACAGATGAGTACTCTTCCTGGCTTGCCAGATACATATCCTGACAACTCCAGTTTCTGCAGTGGAAGATAGAACAGATGAGTGGTGCCTAGAAAGATATCTTGTAAGCCATCTTATGGATGTTCCTGGTAATAATTTGAGTCTTTTTTTTTTTTTTTTTTTTTTTTTTTAAACAACTACCATGAACTTGGCTTTATAAAATGCATGTTTTGTTGGAAATGTTCCAAAGCAGTTCTTGCAGAGTTACCCCTAAAAGAGCGCAATACAGGGCATGAAATTTTAGTAATGGACAACCTTAATGGGAGTTACCTTTTTAAATACAAGCTTAGTTATCAATTTAAGTATGTAAATTTAGTGCTTTGTGTCAGAAGCACCTGCGTTTTAGTTCTGCCATCTTTATGGAGCTTGTGAATCATACTGAAATCTTTAGGTGGCGTGTTGGTGAAGAATGTTATTACTTTTAGCACTTAACACGTTACTTTTTGTCATTTTTATTTACTTGGAATACTGCAGAGCTACATGTCCTCCTTTTCAGCCTTCTAGAACAGGGAGACTTGTTGGAGAGTATATGCGGTTTTGGTTATTTACATTGCTCTTCACAATGGCAAGTTGTATTAAGAGGTTTATTGAACTGTCCATACATAAAGATGATCTCTAGGCTCCGACAGCGAATGCTTGACTTTGTGCTGGAAGTGCAAGGAAAATTCAGATAGAATGCACCTGCTTTTCTGCTTACATACAAAACACATCTTGATATCTCTGTGAGGATGAAAATGAAGTGTTGCAACTCTACAAAACAAAGTAAATAGGACAGAAATCATTGAAATCCATAGTGTTTGGGAATATGTTGCAATGAGGTATCGGAGATGTCCAGCTGCTGTGAAAGTACAGAGATTTTTTGCTAGGGAATGCCTGAAGGAGAGCCATCAGTGATGGTTAGGTGAAAGACCAGCACTGTTTGCTGAGTGAAAGATTAATGTTTTAGTGAGACTTCTGTTAGAAGCTCACACCAATACAGGACACACAATCACAGAATCACAAAATAGTTTGGTTTGGAAAGATCATGTAGTTTCAAATCTACCATGGGCTGGTGTTTTGCTTTAAACCAGCAGGTGGCTAAACACCACATAGTCATTTGCTTGTTCCCCCCATTCCCAGTGGGGAAGTAGGACTTGTAGGTTGAGATAAAACTACTTGCTAAGACAGAGAAAAGGGAAAGAATAGTTGTCATGACAAATGTAAGTGTGTGTGTATATATATATATTTCCTGTAGATCCACTTTAAGTACTGAAAGGCATATGTAAGGTCTCCTTGGAACCACCTCTAGAGTAAATACATCCAACTCTCTCAGCCGATTTTCATAGGAGAAATACTTCATTCCTCAGAGCTGAACTCGATGCTCCAGGTGGATTCTCACAAGAGCAGAGGGGGAGAATTGCTGCCTTAGATCAATTAGATACACTTCTTCTGATGCAGCCCGAGCTATAATTGACTCTCTGTGCTGCAGGAGCATTTTGACAGCTCATATTCAGTTTTTCGTCTAGCAGAACTCTCCAAACCTTTCTCTATGGGAGAAGCAGCAGTTCTGAAGATGACGGAATTCAGTTGCTGAGGCTGTTAAAGTCTATTGTGAGCACAGGAGGATGAAATGTCCTTTTTTATCTACAGATTTCTAGCAGTTGGCTGTTCTTCTACTCTGTTTACAGTACAAGGTATATAAATTATACCACTAGGAAATAAACCCACATTATTTTTTCTGTTAGCTGAAACTGTTAAGTGTTATGCGTGCAAGTAAATACGTAGTACTGTGCACACTTATTAGCAAGGAAGTAGTAATGGGCAAGCAAGGTGGCACCTGAGGCTTGAGAAATAGGGAAAGCTGTGTGAAAAAATTCATCTGCATCTAATTTTTCTTTGGCTGTTTGAGGCTCTAGGCAGTTTAGGTAACAGGATACCTTAATGCCACTGAAGAGTCTAAGACATATATGATCTGGGGAAAGAAACACCTGAGAAATAGTAATAAACCTTCAGCCTGACTTTACTAAGCCTTTTAAAGATCTGTATGCAGTTTAAAAACAAGGGTCATTTTCTTAGGAAATCGGGCTGCTATTTCCATGGTTGAGTATGGATTTGAATCTAAATTAGATGCTAATAGGGGCATGAGTAAGGTGGAGGTTTGGGGTTGGAGTTTGCTTTAGAACATGGAGAATTCCATTTTGTGAATTCTTTTGTCAAGGAAAAAATAGGATTTTTGCATCTGAAGTGAAAAAAACAGAAGTATATTTGGAATGAAAATTAACAAATTAAAATTCTGGTGCTGATCCTGAAGCTTTTTATATTTCTAAAGTCAAAAATTCGAGATTGAAATCCCATCTAGCTAAAAAATATTGATTAGAAATAGATTTCTACCTAATTCTCTGTGCTTCCCTTTCTTTTTCATTCAACGGATTAGAAAATCAAAGTAATTTGTTACTTGAATATCTTCACATTATCCAATTCCTATATACTATCAGTCTTGATCAGGTTAGGCTGATAGGAAAAATGAAAACCCATGGAAATTGATAGATTTTATTTCATTGTTGGTTTTAGTGCTCAGGATGAACAGTAACCATGCTTGGTGCATCTCTTGCCATTGCTGTATATCATCACTGCTGTTATTTTCATGCACTCCATCAAGGCTCTTGGATATTTTAGCATCTTACCTGGATTCACGATTTTAATACTTTGTTTATTTGTTTGTTTGTTTGTTTAAACAGAAAGTTTTCCTGTGGCATGGGATAAGATTCTGGTTAGGAAACTCCTATTATCAATAAAAATGCTGCTTGAAATTACACAGGTTTGGGATCAGGCCAATTAACAGGTAGCATTGCCCTTGGTCCTACATCCAATTGACTTTCAATTACTGTCTTAAGCAGATTGTGCTTGTCAGTGTCTAAAACCTAAACTATTGATTGTCTAATTTTCTTTCTTACAACTTACTATTTAAATAAGTGCAGTAATCCATGGGTGGTTTGGGGGGGATGGAAATCAGGGAAGAAATATACCTACTTAATGTAAGTTACAAATTTGTTCCTTCTACAAGTAAAATAATTGGAACAGTGGCATTTGATAGTTGATGGTAATTTCTAGTAATAAAAATAGAGCTAATTTCCTAAGTAATGTATCGACTTATTAATGATATTTAATGGGTTTCTTTCTATTTTTATTGCTGTTGTAAATTAATTAGTTTGCTAACTTATTTCCAAAAGTCTTAATTAAAGTACTTAATAGTAAGCACAAGTAAATTACAAGACATTGTTTTACTTAGCAGCGCTTGATTTACCAATTCTAAGTAACTTTTTAAGTAAGGAGTATGAAGTTCAAATGCTTCTAGAACGTGTTAAAGGTTTAATGATGCTCTGAGGCTGTTAAAGTGGTTATTTCAGACACTCACTACGTCCAAGAGAAAGCACTTAGCTATGAGGTTTTCATGCTTAGTAGGCAACATAAAAAACGTATTTATTTTGAAGTGGGGAGAGAATGTGTGGTGTTGATTTCTTAAATTAATGCTTCTGTCCATTCAGCAATAGCTTTTTCAGGAGATACTAAAAGTACATAGAAATACACTCATTACCTTTGGTGCTGGTAAGTAGTTCTGTAATGATCCTCTAGCTGTAACACTCATGCAAATTTCTGAAAGTTGAAGTTAAGGTTATATAAAAGCAAAAGCATTGATCCAAAGCAAAGCAATTGTCAAAAGAGAGAGGTTTTGGAGACCTAGAGGTAATTTTACTTGGAAAAGAGATAGTGAGGGAAAAGTAAAGATTGCAGGCTTGAAACGTGTGAAGAACTATGATTTTTCCATGATTCTTTTTGATAAACAGTCTAGCAACAGACTTATTAATTGACTTAGTAGATCAATACGTGTTTCTTTTTTCAAACAAGATTGCTTATGCATCTAAATCACTAGTAAAATTAATAATGTATTTATGAATTCATATAGTAACTGAATGTTTATCATTTTCCTATGTATACTTGCTTTCTGCATTTTGTCTTATAAATTAATTGTCAGGACGTTGTGGTTAGCTGAACTGAGGGAGATACCAGATTTTGGAAAGAGAACCTTTCCAAAATGAGTTCCTAATGCTTTCTAGTGGAATACGACTTAGAAAAGTTAACCTCTTCTAGATCAAAGAAATAGTATTATAGAATCATCAAGTATGAAGAATACTTTCAAAATCAAGTACACCTATTAACCTGACCTAACATGTCCCATTGCTAAACCATGTCCCCTTGTCATGACACACAGCTAACTTAGATATTAATAATTCATATTTTTGTATAGTCTTTAAATAAGTAAAACTCAGTAAAATTTGTAAGATGTTTGCAGAAAATTTATGAGACAACTAAATTATGAATAGTTATTTCCTTAATTGTAATTAAGGGACCTGTACTTGCAGGGGGAACCCAACATGTAATTTTCTTTGGTTCCATCACTACTGAGAATAGTGAACAAAACAGTCAGCAAGTCAACATGGGTCCATTGTTATAAAAACTGAAAAGCAGACATTAAAAAACATAGTGCTTCATTTCAGAAGTAGCAGTCTCTTTTTGAGGCTCAAGATCAACAGTTATCATAATGACCAACATGTACCATCTTTACTAATTATATGGATGGTGCAATTGTGTGCATCCTCAGCAAGATTGCTGATGATACTAAGCTGAGTGTTGCAGTTGATACAGTAGAAGGAAGGGATGCCATC